TCTTTGATTAAGGCCGCTACGCTTCTTGATGCTGCGAGAGAGCGCCTACCTGAACAAACACGACCCCATGGAATCCGAGAGATGTATCTTGTATCTATATTTCGGCTTTAAGACGTGACTTATGTGAATGTGTCAGTTTTTTTTAGTAAAAAGAGGATTTAAATTTAACTTCAGTAACAGTTTCTACAAAAAGTTTTTTTGGGATTAATTTGTTAATAATAAGTAAATTTTTAGTAAATATTCATTATGAAACTGAACAATTGTGTTACTGTAATAAGCAAGTTACTTTGTCTAAAAATGTAAATGATGTTAACAATATAAATATTTATTCGCTCCGTGCGAAGTCATGGAAAGGGAAGCAAAAGCGATACTAGCGCTAGCTGCGGATAATTCGTGCATTTTAAGGCGATATTTTGTAATTTTGGCATATCAAATACACGTATACATTTTACTTTTTTTCAAAAAAGTAGGTACAAACAATGCAATAAGCGACCGGAGTTGCAGTGTTGACAATTGTACAAATACTAGCAAAAAAAACAGTGAAACTTATATAAAAAATTTCAGTAGCAAAGTGGAAATTAAATCAAAGAAATAAATGGATAGATGTAAAATAAGAAGAAAAATTACCTTTATTTTTGTAATAATAACAGTAATGCTGTAAATAGTACACATCAGAAACTTGAAAGGTTTTAAATAAACAATAAATTATCATTTTACGATGTTCTTTAATGTCCCTTTATTCTTAAATGTTCATTCAGCAAGGACTAGATTTCAAGATTTCTGCCTTTGATTATTATATGTGGATGGAATGTAATTTTGTGACTTACTGATGAGAAACCAGTTTTAATCATTCATTCTATGTTTTCTTTCAAACAAAAATTAAAATATAAATAGCGATCCTTTTTTTATACATTTTAACTCCATGCTATTATTAAATGGTATTTTTTTATTTTCACAGAACAGGCTAATTCTTCAATGACAACTTTTGAGACTTATGCAACTTCTCATACATTTTCCAGTAAATACTGTTGCCTGCCTATATTTTATTATTGATTTTCATTGATTATACATCATTTTCTTTAATTTAAGCGTTAAAAATATATAATAATAATAAATTAATGTTTTACTTGTTTTACAAATCCATATACTTTTATTAAAACTGACATATATACTTTTTAATTACAAATTCTATTAAAAATTGTATTTGTCAGTATAGGTACACAGAAATAGTCCATTAATACCAAAACAAACTGGCGCTGCGGTCGCGCACGGAGCGAATAACAAAATAATAGTTTTGTTTTGTGTATTAATAGTATATTATTAAATAAGCAATTTATGGTAGCCATTATTCACGCAGGGTGACGTTTGCGTTCCGAGCCGTAGGCGAGGGGCGCAAGTCACTAGAGTGAATAATGGCCATAAATTGCGAGTGTAGTACTATAATTTATCCACGACCATTATGATTTCTTTATTAAATAAAAGTTAAGTGTAGAACGGAAAGTTTTTATTAAACATAGCTAACTAAGTGTTGTTTAACAAAGGAATGCTTAACTTACAAGATACATAATTAGGTATTTATCATTACTTATTTACATTAATTAATTACGTAACGTTAATACCGGAGCAATTTTCGAATTTTATTGAAGGCAAGGATTTAAAATCAAAATTATTAGATTAATTTTGAATATTTTCAAAAACCTGGTTAGACATTAAGACACTGTTCACAGAATTAATCAGTTTTTCGGCAGTGTTCATTTTATGATTAATTGATTCGTCGATGTAGCTTTCAGCGAACGCTGTACTTTTCCATCCACCGTGTCTTTTTAATGCAGTAATATCTCCACCTGCGTCTATAAGAAACGTGGCAGATGAACATCGAAAACTGTAGCCTGAATACTTTTCCGGATTTGGTAATTTTAAAAAAGTCGCTAGTTCTCTCCCCATGGTAGTAAACTTATTGATTCCTATTCTCTGATAAGTACATTTTCCATTATGATATTTTAAAAAAAATATATATTTTATTGAGAAATCGCGGAACGTTTTTGAAGATATTTTCTACAAATCGGATAGAACTTATCTGTAACCATGTATTTTCGAGGAACTTTTGTTTTTTTTTTTGGGTATCGTAATTAAAAAAGCTGCTCCAAGGTCTCTGACATCTTCGGTTTTCATCAAATACATTTCATTCGCCCGACAAGCACCCATAATTTCCATGATTAATGCTATACCTAAAAAAATATGATTTAAATAAAATCTAACTAGGTACCTTGGAGTTTATATTTTCTAACCTTCGTTGATAGATATGTATCGCAAGCCTCATTTACAAATTTGCTTACCTCTTCTGGTGTAAAGGTTGCAGTTTTTTTGCTTGAAATCCTTCCGATTTTCTCTTCAAAAGGGCCCGTAGTTTTGGGTAAGTTTCAATATTTACAGAATTGTTGATGCTTAATGTACTTCTTAACATGAAATAGGTTGTCCATAAGGTCGAAGCTTTGTATTTGGCAGAAAGTTCACTAAAATATACCAATAACACTAATTCGGAAAACGAATTTATGCCTTTAGCAATACTCCAGTTCATAAAGCTGTGATATGTAGACATGTAATTATCTTTAGATTTTTCTGGCAGCAGTCCAATAGGTACTTTCTCAACTCGTGCGTTAGCAACTCGGGCGTAATATAAAACTACCTGAATTCGTCGCAACTCGGGCGCCCTCCAAAATTGTGCACCTGTGAGTTCGCAACTCGGGCGTCGACGGGATATGAAATTTGACCATAGTTTATGTACCCTGATACTGATTACAATCTGACTCAGGTAGTAATGAATTATCGAAAATTTAAGAGAAATGAATGACATCGCAGAACAAGCTTTGATTTTAACAGATAGCGAGCATTGAAAAGTTAGTTGATGTAAAAAATTGAAGATTTTTCCATTACGGTTTATTTTAGAGAAATTATGTGTAGAATAAAAAATATAGAGCATGATATCGGGATCATTTTCAAATTATTCGCGATTTCTAAAATATTTCCGGAAATAATTTGGTCACTAGTGGTATTATAAGTGAAAATAATGAGAAAAATTCGAATTTTGCACTTTACCTCAAATTTCCCGAACTTGGTATATTTTAGAGAAATGTATAGAACAAAAATTATAGAGAATTACATTGTAAGCAACTTTTATTTGAAGAATTTTCTTTAAAATTCGAATTTTGCACTTTTTGTCAAAATTCTCGAATACGGACCATTTTAAGCAAATCATGAATATGATAAAATAATATTTAAATATTACGAAACGCCTCAGAAACATTCCTAAAATGTAAAATATCCTGTAAATGTAATATTTCATATATTTTATAAATAATAATTTGAAACCTATCAGAAATATAACATACTGATATCCAACAACCAGGGCCGCCGAGAGCCAGGTCGGGCCCCAGGACAATTCTCTAGATCGGGCCCCGTGACAAAAAAACTTTAACCAAAAACTGTTCCTCTTCTACAGAAAAAAAAAACAAAGGTCCTCACATGAAAAAAAAAAACTATTCTCCCTACTTTCATTACTTCATCTTCTAAAAACAAAAAAGGTTCTCACCTGAAAAAAACTTCTTGTAATTAATTATTCTCTCTCATCTTGTGACGAATTTCTCATGCAGAGCAAAAAAACCTGTTGTCGGGCCCCCCTTACAGCGCTGCCGGGCCCCCATTTAAACCCGGGCCCCGGGAATTAGTCCCGGCTACCCCCCCCCCCCCCCTCTAGTCGGCCCTGCCAACAACAGACGCAAACTTCCAATTATTTAGAATACATGGTTGTCTCTAAAATAAAATTATGTTACTTAAAATAAAATGACTACAACATAACCCATCTTCTTTCTCTTCTTACAAATGAGAAATTTTTCAAATCTTGGCCATTAACAACATAACAAACATAAACCAACTTAATATTCTAAGTATAATCAATGAAAATGTTTAAAAATATGATTGCAATAAAGTAGAATAATTAATATTTTTAGGTAAAATATAAACAAAACGTCAAAGTGTTTCGATACAATAACGTTTTTATTACGAGTTTTATGTAATTTAAAGAAACGTTAATATTAAACGTGTATGTATCTTAATATCCAACTTTCGGTTGAACCACAATTACATAATAACATTTAAAAAGAATATTAAAATAAACTAGAATAATTAATATTAAAATAACGTAGATATTTGGTTTACATTATTAACCAAAAGTTAAAAAGGTTGAAATATAATAATCTTTTACATATTATATATATTTAACAAAATAATTAACTTTTAGTTACATAACAACGTTTAAATATAATATTAATATAGTTAAATAAGAGAGCCACAAAATACAGTAATCTCGAACCGACAAATAAATGCCATCGTGGAAGACTTAACAAACTGTCATGAAATTATTAAGTCCGACTCTGTCTAAGCACGCGGCCTACACGTCTGGGCAGCCGATTCATGCTAGAGGCGATGGAATATTCTGGGAATATCGCTGAGGCTCGAGAAACGGGTAGAACGGACGGAGTGTGCCGTTGAGTCAGAATTGGAATTTTTCCGACCATCGGGATTATTCTGGTTACATAGTTGGCTTGATATAAATATCGCGTTTGTGAAGACGGCGGTCAGTTGATTATAGACAGGTGTATTCTTTATCGTGAGTAAGTTCGATTATCAACATTTAATATTAATACACCGGAATGTCATTTCACGCAAGTTTTTATTTTCTTTTATAGGGATTATCACCGGTATCTCTCGCATTTTATTCATGATTCATTTCTTAAAACACAAAAAATAATGAACGAATATCAAATTTTTCCCTATAAAAGAACATGAAAACTTGCGTGAAATGACATTCCGGTGACAATCTCCGGCGAGTCGCCAGCTTTTGGGCTTTCGCCGGCGGATCGCCAGCAGTCATAGACCAAAACAAGATAAGAAGAGCGAGAACCAAGAAAAGAAGTGAACTACAATTCAACACACCAATCCAGTCAATTCGTGGATTATATTTTGACGGCCGTAAGGATAAGACTGTGGCAATTTCTCTGGATTTAAAACGCCGAACATCTAGTGTAGAAGAGCACATCGTTCTAATCGAAGAACCGAGATCTTTCTATCTAGGGTACGTTTCGTCTGTGAGTTCCAGTGCTGAAAATATTTTTAGAAGCATTATAGACTTTTTTGAAACTTCGTCAAAATCTTTAGAAAACATAGTGGCAGTTGGTTGTGATGGAACCGTTACAAACACAGGGCACAATAGTGGAATTATTGTACGTTTAGAGCAGCACATTAAAGCTCCTATTCATTGGTTCATTTGTCAACTGCATGCAAACGAACTGCCGTTGCGGCATTTAATTCAGCACTTAGATGGCAATACAAGGGGGCCTAATATGTCGGGAGTAATTGGTAAGGCACTTCAAAGTTGCGAAAACCTTCCTAGAGCTAAGTTTAAAACTATAAATGTTGTTCTGCCAGAGATTTCGAGGGAAATTTTAAGCACAGATAAGTTTTACCTTTATGATATTTGCAAGTTTGTCTCGACCGGTGTTTGTGACGACAGATTTCTAAACAGACATCCGGGAAAGTTGGTTCACTCCCGATGGCTTACCACCGCAAATCCTATCCTAAGACTCTATGTGTCGACTCAGGATCCGTCAAATTATCTAAAAATTTTGGTAGAGTTCGTTGCAAAAGTTTATGTTCCGATGTGGTTTGCAGTAAAAACCAAACCATTTTGTATTTATGGTGCAAAACATCTCTTTGATACTATTAAGCGTTCAAGGTATTTACCACTTGGGCTGAAAAATGTATTGGACCCCGTTATTCAGAGAAATGGTTATTTTGGCCACCCGGAGAATATGTTGTTGACAATGTTGACTGATGAACGAAAAACTATCCGTGAGCTGGCAGTTAGGCGAATTATTAAAATTAGAAATCAAACGGATCTTCACACAGAAGTTCGAGCATTCATTTTACCCAAATTTAACTTCGATGCCGAAGACTATTGTGACCTTCTTCAAACTTGGCAGGAATTTCCTGTCACTAAACCACCTCTTTTAAAACAAGTATCTGAAGACGATTTGCAAGAAATTGTCAAAGACTACTCCAATTCTTTGGTCATTACGGAAATAATGCAGTTCCCTTGTAACACTCAAGCTGTAAAAAGGGCAGTTAAACTTGTGACAGAGTCTTCTTTATAAGTGACTGATCCAATAAGGCACGATGGAGTCATAAGGAACACCACTTTTTCCAGGGAAGTGATGCCAAAGTTTAAAACAGGTATAAAAACTTTTAATATATTATAAGTTTTTTTTTTAAATCTTTTTTCGGCAATAATAAAGTAATAAAACCACTTTTATCATGTTATATCAATTTGGTCTCTAAACATTTTTTTGTATGCCTTGCGGAAGTGGAAAGAAAAATTGGAACGAAAAAAAAAAACATTTACAGTGGTAAACTGAACAGAAACTAAAATGATTACACCCTATTACGTTTTTAAAATCAAAACAAAATATATTAAGCGGTTACCGGGGTGGAAAATTTTGCACATTTTTTTTTTTATTTTTAGTTATCAGGTTCTAAAATCCCTTGTTTTGAGACCTGTTGCATTACTTAAAGTAAAATTCAATATTAACGATGCACCCTACTGTACACCCACCCTCCTGGGACAGTAGCATTAATGTTCTTACCTTAGATCTATATAGTATAGAATATTGTGCCTTTCTTTGCCTTTAAATGTGTTTTTATTGTTAAGCATTGAAGATTATTGTATAGCTCTAAAATAACACAAATTTTATGTTTTAAAAAATTTATTTATAGGATTTTAATTTCAACACAAATTAAGTCACTTCATATAATGTAAAACTTCTGTTGTATGTGTTATTATTTATACAATTTTAGCAATATCTGTATTTTCCCATTTTAAAGATTTTTAATCTAAAAAAAATAAATAAAATTGGAAATGACTAACGTTTAGTGTTATTTTTGTTTATTTAAATTTTTTCCGTATTTGTTTAAGGGTGAAAAACGAAAACAGGGCGTGGTAAATCTCCAACTTGATGAAATGGGCTCAAATTAAAGCATTTTTTCATAATCAAAAACATTCCCTGATGAATTTCTTTAATAATTCAGTTGCTACATTCTTTATTCTTTATACAATTTTAGCAATATCTGTATTTTCTCATTTTAAAGATTTTTTCAAACTAAAAAAAAAAAAAAATTGGAAATGACTAACGTTTAGTATTATTTTTGTTTATTTAAATTAATTCCTTATTTGATTAAGGGCGAAAAACGAGAAGGGGGCGAAAAACGAGAAGGGGGCGAAAAACGAGAAGGGGGCGTGGTAAATCTCCAACTTGGTGAGATGGGCTCAAATTAAAGCATTTTTTTCATAATCAAAAACAGTCCCCGTTGAATTCTTTTGATTCAGCTGCTGCATTCTTTGGTAAGAAAGTAATGTTATAATAATGAAAATAATGTTAAATTTTTTATTTAAACTCAGCTGTTTTATTTGTACATGGAGGTCCACATTCGACGCTTTTACATGATACAACACCATCGTCACCTTTTTTTTAAGAAATTAAACATAATATGCTCATGTTATAAATCCTTTTTAGAAGCTACAGGGTGATTTTTTAAATTTGTCATAATTTTTTATCTCAAATAAATAATATCTTATTATTTTGAAAAACAATTTAATAACTTGACTTAATTACATATGTAAAATCCATTGTCCAAGGGGTAAAATTTTCGAGGTAATACCATTTATCATTTTTTATTTGAACATCCAAACAAATAATGATATTGTAAAAATCACTCTTGCATTTTACTCAGGGGAGGAATTTATAACAGAATTTAAAATACCATGTTAAGTTTTTAAAAAAGGGTGCAACATCAAGTTTGCTGTATCCCCTGCTAATTTAGTGATATCTTATAAACATGTTAAATTTGGACCATCCTGTATAATTATGGCAAATACTTTGTATGTTGATAGGAAAATTAGTGCAATATGAAGAACTTTTCTATATTTAGTAAAATATAACAGTAGGTCTTATTAGGTTCTTACATTGCAGTAAATAATTACAGGAGTGCAAGTTAACTCTGCAACTAAATATCATCGTTGAAGGACTGATATGTGCTGAATAATCTCTATGTAAATTCGAGTTATCACTTCTTCAATGACGATTTATAAATTTTGTTATATCATTATATTTCGGAACATAATTTTATAGTAGAGGAGACCATGGGAGGTCGACCTTTACCTATCTGATAACCAGATGAGGCATATTTTTTATGAAATTTTATTGATTTATTAACACGCCTATGGGAACTTGCCGGTCCAAGAAGTCCATCCGCTCCTGACCAATGGCATTATAAAGTAAGAGAAAAATAAAATCTTTATTAATACAAAATTATTTATTAGCGACTTGGAAACATTTCTAAATACCAAAGCCAAAAGCAGTAATGAGATAGTTATAGGAGACATAAACATCGACATACTTAGTAAAATAGATGATGAACATGACGATTATTTAAATATTTTTTATGAAAATGGATTTAAATCATTAATAAACAAATACACTAGGGTACATAAAAACTCAAAGTCATGTATCGATCATATTTTTTTAAAGACTAACTACATGGAAGTTAAAAAAATCTTACCTATTGTACTATACTCTAAGCTATCAGATCACTATCCTACGATTTTAGAATGTGACATTATAAACAGAGTCAGATGTAAAAAAAAATTGGAAACAAAAGAGATTATAGATTACAAAAAGCTAAAAACAAATTTTAAAAATCAAAACTTTGAAAATATATATAATTCTGAAAATATAAATAATATAGCAGACGATATAACAAGAACATTAATGAATTGTGTAGAAAATAGCAAAATAAAAGTTGCTGTAAATTTTTCAAAGAAAAAACCGTGGATTACACAGGGCCTAATAAAATCTATAAAACAAAGAGATAAACTTTATAAAATATACAGAAACTCCCAATTAGAGGAAGATTTTAGAGAATATAAAAATCATAGGAATAGGGTAACAAATCTAACGAAATTATTAAAAGATCAATACTATAAAAATAAAGTCGAACAGTTTTCAGAAGATAGCAAAAAACTATGGGAAACTATTAATGAATATAATAATAAAACAAAAACAAAAAATAATCAAGAACCAAAAGAAATCGAATTTGATAATATCATTCACAGCGACCCAAAAAGTGTAGCAGAGTCACTTAAGCATTTCTCATCAGTAGGGGAAAAATTAGCAAAACATATTACGGATAAGATAGAGATAACTAATAATAAAACTGGTTGGACTAACAAAGACTCAATATTTTTAAAACCTACAAACGAAAACGAAATTAAAGACATCATTAAATTATTAAAAACAAACTCATCACCTGGACTTGATAAAATCACAATTAAAGTACTTCAAGAAATTTCTGAAGAAATTGCAAAACCAATGGTCCATTTGATCAATTTAATATTTATAAAAGGAGAATGTCCTAAACATTTCAAAATTACCATAGTTAAGCCAATTTATAAAAAAGGTAACCCGAAATCACCTGAAAATTATAGGCCTATTAGCCTAATTTCTAACATATGCAAAATTTTTGAAAAAATACTTAAAATACGTTTTGTTGAGTTTTTTGTAAAACATAAAATTATTTCAAACATGCAATTTGGATTTCAAAGTGGAAAATCCACTAATGACGCAATTTCGTGTTTGATAAATAAAATATACAACTGCCTAGATGAAAGCAAACCTTGCGCCGGGGTTTTTATCGACTTGGCAAAAGCATTTGATACTGTAAGTCATCAGAAGCTTTTGTCAAGACTCGAAAATGTTGGCATCCGAGGTCCATCACTATCCTTATTGGCAAGTTATTTAGAAGATAGAAAACAAAGGGTACAAATTAATAATACAATTAGTAATGAAAAAACAGTTACGTATGGAATCCCTCAAGGTACTGTGATCGGTCCTATTCTTTTTATTTGCTACATAAATAGTCTATTTGATTTAAATTATAAAGGCAGCGTAATATCTTTTGCGGATGATACAGTATTATTCGTAGAAGAAGAAACTTGGGTTGAAGTATTTAAAAGTATTCAAACTAATTTACAAACTCTAACACATTGGTTCGACAATAATTTATTAACCATAAATCCGGAAAAAAACACATTTTTACCTTTTTCAAACTATAAGTCAGGATTACCAACAGAAAACAAAATTTGTATTGAAATTCAGCACCGAAATGAAACGTGGGAAATACAAAAATGTAACAAAGTCAAATATCTGGGCATAATTATAGATTCAAATTTAAAATGGGATTTTCAAATTGATAACCTAACAAAAAAGTTACGGTCTTTAATGTTTATGTTCAGACAAATGGCAAAAATTGTTGATTTTCATATACTCAGAAAAATGTATTACGCATTAGTGGAATCTATATTATCTTATGGCATTATAGGATGGGGCGGAGTATATAATAGTACATTGCAAAAATTAGAAGTTGCCCAGAAGAGAATTCTAAAAATTATGTTTAAATTAAATATACGTTACAGAACGCACAACTTATTTATTGAAAACAACATTTTAACAATTAGAAAATTATTTTATAAAAGTTCACTTTTACACTTAATTAAGTATAAGTTAATTAATACATCTGTTGAACACATATATGAAACACGACACGTAACGCAAGCATGTATAAAAATATCCAGAGTGTATAAAAAAATTGGCGATCATTGTTATAGACAAGTTGGCCAAAAATTATTTAACACTATTCCCAAAGAGTTAAAAGAAAAAAGAAGTCAAACTAATTTCAAAAAACTGCTAACCACGTGGTTAATTATTAACTCCCCCAATATATTGTAACTGCTTCAAATAAATAATTAAAAAAAAAAAAATTAAATTAAAAAAAAAAAAAAACAAAATAAGAATAAAAGATAAATAAAAACAAAAAAAAAATAAATAAATAAATAAAAAAAAAAATAAAAAAAATAAACAAAAGTTTGTTATTCTATCAGGGTCTGTAGCTAATAATTATTTGTTTTTACAAAATTTGATATATGTATTTTTTCCTGATTTATATAATAAATTATAAAGATTTATAATAAAAAAATATATATAGATAAAAATAAAAAAAAAGCAAAAAAAAAACATTTTCGACAATTTTACCTGGGTTTGCAACTAAATTTATTTTCAAAATCTGATACCTATGTATTTTTTTTTATTTTAATTTTTTTTCTTTTTTTCGTTTTATTATATAAATTATAATAAGATGTATTACAGTATACCGCTAATTATACATTTATACTCTTAAAACAAAATAGCCTTAATAAGTAACGGCAGCAGCAGACAGGATTTTCCTAAGCTCGCAAAGTTACTTTTATTATGAAAATCATAGTAGTTAGGCATTACAAAATGTTCCCTTTCTTGTTTATTTCTACTAAATTGTAAAATAATTATATACTTTGTATTCATGGTTTTCGAAATAAACTTATTATTATTATTATATTCGGCAAGATAGTTTATTTATGTACAAAAATTTTAGAAACATGTTTGGTCTTATTCTTTTAGTTGCAATTAATAGTAAACACTTCCTTTAACCATCTTTTACTCTCAGAAAATAGTTGGAATTATGGGGATAATGCAGGAATATTTTAAAAATATTTTCGATTTTTATTAAAATGCCGTTTTTATAGGAATATTCACATATTTACATATGATCAGTTTAAAGAAACAGTTTGAATAGAATTTTCTCATAATAAGCTTTTTACTGGATTAATTTAAATGATATAGAGAATTAATAAATTCAACTTACCCTAACTCTAGCTTCCGTTAAATTCGTCCACATGGCTATTTCTTCCCTAGTACTCATATCGGGATATCTATTCCTAGCGAAAGTTGCTTCTAATTCTTGTAGCTGCTGGCTCGTGAAGTGGGTCCTCTGCCGCCTTTGTCTTTTGTTCTTTTTGTCGTTTTTTCCGTCATCAGGTTCTGATGATTCTACGCCTACGCCCGACTCCGTTTTTATCGTGTCCGACAGCGATCTACTGGCTGAAAAAGAAAGCAATTTAAAATAAATACTAAAAATCATTTTTTCTTCTCCTTTATTTTTACTCAAATCATAAAGTTATCCAGCTGTATATAAACTCGTCTGCATAACGGGATCATTTTTCGAAAGTAGAGTATAATTTAATAAAAAAATAGTACGGCCGTATTCGGGAACATTTTCAAGACGAAAAAACTAAATATCGGTGTATTTAGTCAAAACTTTATCCACTTAACATGGCGGCCAAAACTGAGAGGAGAAGGCCGAAACCTTTATTCTGACTAAATATGTAGCACTCCAGAATCCAAGGGCACTATACCCATAGAAATAATATAGAAGACCAATATAAACATAACATTTAAGCAGAAATTGAAACCTACTGTGCATAAAAACGCGTCTCTGCGCCTGACATCGCAAAATAGTGTGTCTAGAAGCTTGCGCAATATGCATGACTTGTCCCTGTAGTGTTGCCAAATATATTAAACATACCTAACAGAAAAGAATTTTAAATTAATTAATTTTTAAATTATATGATTTAAACAGTTTATATCTACGAAATATCACCACAAAATAACTTATACACATTTAAATAATCAACTAATAATATTTATGTGTAATTACAGTCCCAAAAATATATACAAATACCGTATTAATGTCATTAATACCGTATTTTTATTGTTCAATAAGCGATTCACCTACAAATTCAATATTGACCTGGCAATAGCACTAAAATCCGGTGTTTCAAGGCTATATGACGCTGCCCTTACAGGACCGTTTGTAGTTTATTATTTATGCCGCGTTTGAGAATCCACATTGGATGCATCTGAGATGTAGTAAGTAGTAAATCTTTGATCACGTGATTCAGTATACGTAAATGTAATGGGACAGATGTGTCCGATGTGGATAAAAAACGCTCGAGATGTAAAAAATGCATCCGATGTGGATTCTCAAACGCGGCATTAATTACACGATGAAAGTGGCATTTTATTTTTAGTTTTGTGTAGTGTTTAGTCAAATCCTAGGTACAATAAAAGACATTTTTACATTGGCTAATGAAAATGTAATCAATGTATTAGGCAGCTGTTATATTTATTACAAGATTTATGTCTGCAAATCTAAACCTACCTAAGAATTATAATTATGTAAATAGAGAGCTGTATATTTATATACAGGCTGCCCAGCGACGGGGAGACATTATCGATATCGGTTTTAAGGCATTTTAAAACATAAACCCGATCTCAACAATCTTAGGAACTCTCTGTCACTCGATATTTTATTCGGTACTTCCTCTTCGCTTTTTGGCTGGCACAACAATTATTTACATTTCTTCATTCCTTACCGCGTTCGAACCAGTAAGGTTTAAAGAAATTTAAAAAAAAACCTACTTTAAAAATAAAGATGTTAATGATTTTCTTATGGATCCCATCTTCAGATCTTGACTTAATGTATATAAAACTGTTTCCTTTTCTAACAAAAATAATCCTAGAAATCGGGCAACGTGGTAAAGAATTATCGCTCAACATACATAAAAAAATATTTCAACGAATTGAGAATATCCATTTTGAAGTATGTTAAAAAAAAATTGTTAATAAAGTGAAAAGTAGGGCATGAACATATATTATAAAGTATATAAAATGATAGATAAATCCAGTTTAGAAGGTATTATAAATAAACTGTGGAAATATCGAGAATCTCGATTTTGAATCGGAAAAATATTCTACGCAATTTAGTATGAAAGCTGATCAAAATGAAACACATGAACGACAAACTGTTATTGACAACTTTCTTCAAACGTTTTCTATTTTTCCGAAAACTAACTAGATAGTTCGAAAATCATTTCCTTCGTTAAAACGCCTCTTGTTCCGAAAAAGGTACACGCCTGCCAACATTCATCGTTCATTAAAAAAGTGGTAGATACAAAACGTTTCGTATTGTAAGGCCAAAATATATTTAGAAATCGAAATAGTCATATAAACAAAAAAATCATATGAGTGAGATAACTACCAAATTAATGATTTACAAGTTTATTCCTATTATTTATAAAATAGGTTTGCAATGTGCTGGTGTGGAATGTTATCATCGACTAAAAACTTTAAATCTTTGTATTAAATTGATCGAAAACAAACTATAAATTGGTTTAGGCTATATAGAATGTTTCTAGTAAGCAGCAACTAATTTTTATTATGGAACCGAAAGACCCTTTTAAAAAGGTTCAAAATTAAAATAAAATATGTACCAAGTAAATGTAGTAGTATTTTTTAATTTTTTAATTTATATTGAAAATGGTAACATGTCTAACGACTCATAGTCTCGGCTGACAAAATGTAAAAAAATATCGAACATAATATTCCTGGGCCCTATTTTGCACTCCCCAGATTAAATTTAGTTGTAGCAAATGATATTATCAAATAAGATGTCAAATCACAAGCAAAATCTCGTGACTACAGTACTAATAATTGCCTGTTTGGAAAAGTATCTTTGTTTGTAAATATTTATATGCATAGTTATATTTAAATGCGCGAGTGTAATGTTAAGTATAAACAAAATCCGCCCATTATGTATATACGTTTAGTTACCGACCCTAGTAGATAGGCAATTTGTTATTGTTTTAAGTTTTATCGTAGGGAGAGAGAAAATCAAAATTAAGATAAATGGTCCAGCTCCTTTCTGGTTACGTAGGTACCTAAAAAGTATTTTAGTTTTTGGTTAAGTAATTAATTATTGTAACAGTGATTTTCTTGTGATAGTACCTAATTTAGATTGTGGATTAAAGTTTTTGTATATAATTTCGCTGTTCAATAATAAACGTAGTCACAAGCAAAATCTCATGACTACTGTACTAATGATTGCCGAAAATTAACTAATTCATATTTTATGCCATATCTTTCTTAATAAGGACTGTCAGAACCATATTTACCTTAACTTGAAATTTTTTTAATCGTTTTTTGTATAGAATCATCTCTAAAAATGTATGATTGAAATATCGTGCGAACTATTTGTTCGATCAATAAAAAACTTGCAACGGTCCTGTTCGCGCCAGCACCGTTATACGCATGAGCTCCGACACACTATTTTCTCCTTATGGTTTCATTTTTGATATATGGAATCGGCTTTCTATACTATTTCTATGACTATACCTAGGAGCATATCAAATAAAAGAGGGAGATTTACCTAACTAAAAACCACTCCAAATCCTACACTTCCTTAAGAAGATAGGATTAGAAGGGTCGTTATAGGTATTGAGATATTTCCTTGCTGCATTAGCGACAGAAGGAGACACAAGAGATCTTTTAGGTCGCAGTGTATTAAAACCCCATTCCCAACATAACATAACTTGGCGGTCAGCATAAAGGGAGTCATTTTATTGCATTGACAACATACCCATAGCGATATCTAGACTTTTTGAGAGCTATAAACGCTTGTCAAAAATATACAAAATCATTTTGGTTGTTGAAATATATATTTTAAATACTCAGAAACATAGCAAATGTTTATTAAAGTTCTGTTTATATTATTAAATAATATTTTTAAATACCGCGGCAATTTAATTTTTTGTTTAAGAATATTTTGTTGTTTTTTTACAAGTTTGGGTGTAGTGAAATTTAAACGCATAATTAAATAAACAACAAACTGTACTCAAAAAATTACCATATCTTGTGGTAGTACCCTTGAAAATAAAATGCAGTTTCCAATAAAGAAAAATTAGAAGCGTATTTTAAGACAAAATACATCTACGCCCTAATAGATTCCTCGAAAATAATCCCGACAAAGAGCCATAGCAATATAACATCCAAAAATCGGAGTATGTACGCCTGCTGCTACGCGACAGTTTCCTGCCACGTATACGTATGTTTAAAAAAGTTACGGGTGCTATAAAGTTAATCCCAGAAGTTGAGGAAGACGGCTATTTCGGTTCTGCCTTTAAATAATTAGTCTGACACGGAGGATTACTCTACCAACTTTCCTAAAAGTTAAATTAATTGGGAAAACGAAAGTGCTAGCGAGTTTGCTTCGGCGTTCATGTTTTGTGGTCGATCTTTTCGCAAAAGTGATGTGATGTGGGTTCGCCTAATAATTATCCTTCCTATCTAAGTGAAAATTAACTTAGGTAAAGTTTATCTTACCAAACGATATGAAAATTACACGTTCTACAACTAAAAAGTAAGTTGAAAAAAAAATTATTTTAACAAATTGGGAGTAATATTTGCGCACGGTGTGTTTAAAGTACATATACCTAGTTCCGTTTAAAAATAATTTTTCTTTTTCACATTTAATTATCAATATTATTAATATATCTATAAATACGCACGTACATCTACACCGTCGAGCTGCTGATTCGAAAAACACCCAAACGTACAGTTGTTGAACTGCAAAAACGAGTGATACGAGACATGAATTTCAACAAGTAATGTATTATGTAAATATAAAGTAGGTAGTGGAATAATTCTAAATTTAATAAAATGTCGTTGATAATGTTGTTAATTAAGAAGAGTTTCCCCTAAGTGGTACACCATAGCTGACATGTTTTTCAACTGCCGAAGAATAAACAAAGTTTTTTCTTTAATTATGGCCCGGCCAATTCTCGTTCCTGTTATCCAACGTAATAGCCATAGGCACTAAGAGTCTGTTCGCTATACTTACGCGGGTTTCGGATTAAAAATTTTATGAGTATTTCCAGGTAAGTACCCGAAAGTTTGACCTGTTCTTTGGGGAAATATCAACTGGTTAAATGAAATGAAAAATATTGTACAACTTTTTAATTAAATAATAATCTAGTCTAATGTGGCTATTATAATAATTTTATATTACACTTCACACAGAAAATATGGTTTATGTATAATAAGAGGGTTATTTAGCTCAAATAAAATATTTTCGAACATAAAAATTTGTTCCATGTAGAGAATTTCAAATGAAAAATAAAAAAATTGAACTTGCCAACAAAAATAAAAATCAGTCATTATCATCCAAAATATCATAACCGTCATCATTACTGTCATTACCATTA